TTCCAGTTCTTTCCAGTTCCTTCCAGTTTCTTCCAGTTTTTTCCAGTTTCTTCCAGTTTCTTCCAGTTTTTTCTAGTTTCTTCTAATTTCTTCCAACTATATTTATTTTCTTCAAATACTTTCTACCTTTTGACAAATAACTCTAAAAAAAATATATTATTATAATTATTACAATTTTTTTTAATTACAACTTTTATGTTCATAACTATAATTTATAAATTATTTAATTTTTTCATCTCACTATTTTTATGATTCACATTCATTATTTTTTTCTTCAACTTTTTAATATGAATAATACCAGTTCTATATTTTTATTCAAAAAATAGGGTTACAATGGAAATAAATTGTCAATCCTTAAATAAATATAAGTTTGATTACATTATGTGACATGTCAGATATTTAAAACAAAATCTTTTAATGTATAAAATATAATTACAAATATATTATTTTATAATAAATACAGCATAGCCATAATAACTCTTAACTATTTAACATTTTGATATTTATGCTAATTTTATATTCTAATTAATTTTTTAAAATATTTTTTTATGTATGAAAAATAATATTCATAATATTTTTTTATTTTAAAGACAATCATTTGGATAACGTGATAACACCACCACTACCACCACCACCACCAACAATAATAATAATAATAATTATAATAATAATAGTAATAATAATTTATATCAACAAGAATCAGAATGAGAATAATTTAAAACCACACATAAAAATTTTTTAAAAACTTTTTTTAGATTTTACAATTTATTCTAGTTTTTTCAATTTCTTTTATTTTTTTTTTAATTTTTTTTTTCAGTTTTTCCAGTTTCTTCCAGTTTCTTCTAGTTCCTTCTAGTTTCTTCCAATTTCTTCCAGTTCCTTCCAGTTTCTTCCAGTTTCTTCTAGTTCCTTCCAGTTCCTTCCAGTTTCTTCCAGTTTCTTCCAGTTTCTTCCCGTTTCTTCCAGTTTCCAGTTCTTTTTTTCCAGTCCTAAAGAACAGGCCCTAACAGTGCAACACTAGTGTTAATTGAAAGACTATTTGTGAATTATTTTTAGAGTTTAAAGTTTTACTTGAAAGATTAACGGCATAGTTTAGGGCTAAATAGCACCAATACCCCCGTGGTTTGAAATTGGGAATAATCGTGTTGTTTATATAGGGACGAAGCCAAGGCATCCAACTCCAAGCGTCCAACTCCAAACGTCCAAATCTGGACGCTTTGGGTGTCCCATTCAATCAGATTTTGCCACGTGTCATTCTTGGGCTGCAATAAATTCCAAGCGTCCAACTTGGCCAAGCGTCCAAGATGGACGCCTCAAACCCTTGGTCTGTTTGGCTTCGCGGCTAGTTCGTGATTTTGGCTTAATTTCACTTTTTTTTTGGCCCCGAACACTATTTCTGACCTCCCGGAAGCTCGTTCAAGACCGGATCTTGATCCTTTGATTATTGATTCCCTTTTACTCAAGTATTTGCACATAAAATGGATGATTTATGATGATTTCATGTAAAATCCTTTTTTATGACTCTTAAAACAGAAATGAGAGTTTTATTCATTGAAAACACATTTTATGAGATGATTAAGTACTATATACGTGCAATAACGTTTAGAATATGATCTAAATGATAAGAACAAAATGGACTTATCAAATGACTCACACTTAAACGTTGCTTGCCCTTAAGCGACAAATTGAATAATTACAAGTATAGAGGCAAATTAGTAATTGCGCGCATAGGAAAAGTTTTAGCTACACATTGTGAAGGAAAGAATATATAAGATAGTCATCGACCTTTTATTATGAAGAAGTGAACCTTTAGATTCTCACTTATATATGCGGCGAACAACAAATTTAAGTGCGGTTAAAGACCACATCTCTTGAGTGAAACTTTGAGAAAGTGTTCAGAATAGTCTTTTTAAATTAAATGTTTTTCAAAACCATCCCTCTGAAGTTATATTTATAATCTCATACCAATTGTTAGAGGGCTAATGTGTGAAAAAAATTCAATTATAATGTACTCTTCTACTGTATATCTAAGGTGAATCCAAAGATAGAGAGACATGGGGTCACATCTCTTAAGTTGTGATTATATTTATCGGTGTTCACAACTCATACCCTAAATAAAATAAACTAAAAAAATTAGTATTTGAATGAACAATCAAAATTTGGTCTCAAATTGATTTCTCGAAATCAAAAATTTTCTCGTATACAATTTTTTAAGATGCAGAATAAGAATCAATTATTAAGCACTCACTCATTCAAAAAATTTAATTTTTGTATAAACATTCAAAATCAATAGTTATACCGTATGGCTACCGAACGTTTTTTTCACAAGACATGTCTAATATATTTATTTTTATTTAATGTACGATAAATTTATATTCAATTTATAATCAGAGTTCAAACGGAGTGAATACAATACAATATATGGAGGGCATGTATTTTATTTGTCCTTAATTTAAATTTCATTCATTTATATTTTACGGATTTTAGAATAATAAATTCTCCATATTATAATTGTTTATTGAAGACTATCAATTACGAAGTACCATCTATACTATATACAAAAGCAAAAGAATTGGGAGAGAATGAAAAAAGAAAAAGAAAAATAAAAATGGTTGTATTGTCCTTTGGACTTCCTGAGCTAAAATACTAATCTTTCTCTTAGAGCACTGGAAATACTCGTGAAGCCACGTGGCTTCAAACCGGGGCTTCAAAATTTCTCTCTCTGCCACATCAGCTTTAACTTACCTCACAGATTCAGTGGAAATGGGTTTGAAGCCCCGGGGCTTCAAACAGGGGCTTCAAACCTTCATTTTTTACATTTTTAAATATACATCTTCTAAATTTAAATTATAAAATTTTAATTAATTTATTATTTAAATTAATCAAAAGGAGACTAGTGCATTAAAAAAATTACATTCATTAAAAAAATATTACATTCATAAAAGAATACATTCATAAAAAAGGTTACATTCATTAAAAAGTATTACATCCATAAAAAAACAACACTACAAAGAAATTACTAATTACTCGAGCAACTAAAAATATCTTCATTCAAATCTGAGTTGTAGTAACATATTGCAAACTGAAATAATTCATTAAATAAAAAATATTGTCAATAAAAAAAGTATGTTAAATTTTATAAAAAAACAAAAAAATTACATTACTAAAAAAAATTTAAACAAAAAAATATTACATTAAACAACAAAATATAGAGTAAAAAAAATTATGTTTGTGTATATTTTTTTAAAAGAGAGGGTGGGGGAGGCTTTGAAGCCCGTTAAAGGTTTGAAGTAGAAGAAATGAAGCCCCTATGAAGCCCCAAGGGGGCGGTGTTTGCTGCCCCTTTGGCGTTAAAAGGAGTAATAACGCCACAGGCGTTACACCCATTACCAGTGCTCTTATGCCGCTTCATCTCTTGGAAATCTAAAAAGACAACTACGGAGTATTTTGATGGAATGCTTTTTTTTTGAAGAATGTGGCGGATTATGGTTTAAAATAATAAATGTGTTGTTAATTGTAATTAATATCTCTTTCAAAAGTCTCATTCATTTCGTGGTTTAAAATATAATTTTTTTTCAAAAAAATCATATCTAATAATAGTATAGCTACAATAAAACATCATATCCAAATTTCTAAAAAAACTTAATTATGCATGTCATATTATTATTTAAAAATTAAAATAAATACAATTAAATTTTAATTCATATAATGTTTATATATTAGTTGAACTTTTAAAAAATGTACAAACTATTAATATAATTCTTAAATAGTCATACACATATCTATTTTATTTGCTATTAGAAATGATCCAAACCGAACAGAATATATTCACACCCAATTCAAATCCGAATTTGATTTAACCTGGACCTATTAAATCCGAATCGGTTAAACTCAGAACCGATTAGACCTGAAACCGATTAGACCTGAAATTGATCAAATTCATTAATATTTCATTTATCAAATGAACTTGGTGAAAAAGAACTAGCAATATATATATTTTTATATATGTTGATGTGTTTTTAAAAAAACATAATTAAATAATGGGTGCAAACCATGCAACTATTTTCATGTACAAATCTTTTACTTTGTATTTTGTAACTTAAGTTAAAGTATTTTTGTATTTTATCGTCTTCGAACTTAAAGTTTGACCAACATCGTCTCTTCAAAAATATTACTAAATTTAAAAATTACATTTAATGTATTTTTCGATACCAATAATTTGGTAATAACTTTTACTCTTTATATATTAATTCATTGTATATTTTTATATATAGTTATTCAAATATTTGACACATAAAGTGAAATGGATAGTTAAATAGAAACAAAGGAAGAACGATGAAGAATGTTAATTAAAAATGTCGGGCCGAAAAGTTTAAGAGAGAAAACATTAGAATGTAAATAATTAGTCAATTATGTAAGCATTATTTTTTATGTACGTACGTGTTAAATAATAAAATAAGTACGGAGTATGTCATAAATTGACTAAATTTATTAGGTGATATTAATTATTGATTTATTAGTATATATTTAAAATATACTTGAACTAATATACACCTAAACTGATATAATTCAAACTTGAACCCATGAAACCCGAACTGAAACCAAAAATCAGTCAAACCGAAGTAAACCCGGAATCGAACAGACTTGAACCGAACCGACTCGAACTGATTATAACATATAACCGAAAGTTACCCGAACCAAAAAGATCCAAACCAGAACCGAACCGATTGATCCGATTGCCAGGTCTATTTATTCTAGTTCTAATTAGATATTTCGTATTTTTAATTACCAAAAGAGAGTAGTTAAAACTTAACACCACAAACATACGGAATAAAAAATAACCTCTCAAAAACCCTTTGCCCTTAATTTACTGCTACATATATGGATGGATGATGCGCACCAACTGTTTCCCTAGTCAAGTGCCTAACTTTCGCATGTCCAGTCGTTTTAGAGTTTGATAAAGCTATAAATTGATACAATATGCATATTGCTTTTTTATTCATCAACATCATATATAATACTAAGCACACAATTTCATTTAGAGAGACAAATTAAGCATCATCACTTCAAATTAATATGGACAACTCCCAGAGCATGAGCTACCAAGCTGGCCAGACCAAGGGCCAAGCTCAGGTTATTACTAATTATTAATAATGTTTCAATTCTTTTTATTTCCCTTTTTAATTACTAATGGTTTTTGTGTTGGGTATATGTATGTATCACTACAAATTAAATTAAAAAATATTATCTTATTGATGATTATATTCCAGGAAAAGGGCAACCAGATGATGGAAAAGGCAAGCAATGCTGCCCAATCTGCAAAGGAAACCCTTCAAGATGTTAGTATATACATACATACATATATATCTGGCTGTGACACACACTGAAACACACACTTTACACTAATTTAACTACGGTTATATCATACGGTTGTCTTCTCTTCTGTGCATATATAAATCATTTGTCATTGTCATTCGTAGTGGCACGCATGTTGTGATCCTAGCATTTTTGTTTAACTACGCAATCCGTCTCGTATTCATAAAATGGCTAAGATTTGATTTTGTGCTAATTAGAACAAATTTTCTTTTCATTATGACTGATATACAATAAAATAATAAAACTTGTAATATTTTATTTGATACAGGCGGGCCAGCAAATGCAGGCAAAGGCACAAGGCGCAGCGGACGCGGTTAAGAATGCCATGAGCAAGTGATTTTTCACAGGGGTGGGCCGAAGTGTTCTCCTATTCAGCGGACTTTGGCCCAATTTTAATTTATGGGTTCTCTTTGAGTTTTTAATTCTTTCGAGAGGGATTTTGAGTTCCCATTTATTGGGTGGGGTTTGAATAAATAAATAATACTCCCTATATTGCTGTTTTTCTCTCCCCCCCCTTAAAATTAACTTTCCTGTTATGTTTTAGTCCACTGGCCCTAAAAGATGGTCACAGTTTGATTTTTTGGTCAAACTGTAGCACCTTTTGATCGTGAATTATGGAAAAAGTATATTTTGTTATAATGTAAATTTAGTAAAATTGGATTTATTTTTAAATATACTCCCTCCGTCCCATAAAACCCTTCCCCTTTCGTTTTTTTCCAATTCCCTAAAACACTTCTACTTTCTATTTTAAAGCCATTTTTACTCCTAGTTTTTCACATCCTACCTATCACATCATACTTTTTCACTAATAACTAAACTATCACATCTTACTTTTACCCATTAGATCAGGGGCAAAATTGGAAAGTCAACCAAAATTTCATTATCTTTATTTTGGCCCAAGTGACAAAATATTGTACTCCCTCCGTCCTAAAACTTTTTTCCCGGTTCGCAAAACGAAGAAAAATCCCAAATTTTTTCAATCTATTTTATTTAAATATTGGTATAGAAATAAAAAATAAAACATACATATTTAAAAACTACATCAAAAGTTCAACAAAACAAGTGGTGACAAGAATATTTTATTTTATCATTTAGGCCATGAAAAAATACAAATAAATATAAATTCCCGTGAATTTGGAATAGTGCTTTGGGAAGAAAGTTTTAGGACGGAGGGAGTATTAGAGAAGGTAAAAAATGAGCTTCTCCCCTCGTTTTAGGACTATGAACATTACATTGTGAACATTGTCCATCCGAAACTGGACCATTCATAAGACATTGAAATTGGGACTCCGAGTATATTGAGATAAATAGAACTCCATAGTTAATTAAATAAGTACTACTTACAGAAATTAAAACATGTATGGAGTAGTACTATATATATAGAGAAATTAAAATAATTACATTTTGATACTATTTAGTAAATTTCCCGAAAACAATACCAACATAGTACTCCGTAATTAATTACGTAGTAGTTTTTTTATGTCGCGTTAATGCTTAGCAATTAATCGTGCACAGAGATTAATAGTGAAAATGCATGACTAAAATGAGAAATAGTAGAAGTCACAAAAACATTTACACAAGTGAAAGATAAAACTTTTATTTGGGAGAGATTAAAAAAATTGTTGAAGCTCTTTATAGGAGTATATGACAAGACCGTCCAATTAATTAATTGTGAACATGGCCCTGCATAAATTTGGACTTTAAAAATAAACACCCCAAAGAATAAAATTGTGGTCAAATTAATAAAGAAATCTACTTGGATAGAAATAAAAAAGTATGAAAATATTAATGTAGGAGTCCTAAATCTTTTAAACCAAAATAGAAGTATAATGGAAGTCTAATGTAAGAATAAGCGTAAGCAGTGTGATGGAAAAGTGATGACAATGTAAGATGTCAGTATGATTAGTCAACTATCGGTAATCTGCGGTGGCACTCGGGTGACTGACGGTGACGGATGGTAGTGGCGGTGGTAGCGTGGAAGTTACAGTGTGACTATGTGGTTAGTGTGACAGTGTAACAATGACAATGTAAATTCCTATTTTGTTTTTAAAAGATTTATAACTCCTATCTTAGTATTTTTCATGTTTTTTACTTCTTTCTAGGAAGTTCTACCAAATTAATATATATACTCTTTACGTGGAAAAAAATAATGTCCCAATTCGAATGTCTTAAGTTTCATCTCTTAAAAGTTTTTTATTTATAAATTGGTATAAAAATAAAAGTACAAGATGTGACAAGAATATTTTATTTTATCAAATAATTATTAAAAACATACAAAAAATACTGTAAAAGTTAAGGTGAGGCCAAAATATTAACCTAACTAAGGGTGGTGTATTGTATATAGATTTATATATAAATCTAATTATTTTTATAATTGTTTTTTCCCTTGATTTATTGCCTATTTGAAACAAATTTCACTTTTATATAAGTTGCATGACACAATCATCATTCATTAGAATTTTTTTTGTTGATTTTGTGTTTTCAAAATAACCTCATTCATAAATTTCCTCTGTTTTACTTATTTAATTTGATATTCGTCTAACATTCGTCTAGCATTCTAGACAACCGATGCTAATACACCTTTTATAAATATTTTAAGAAAATAAATATCTCAAAGGCATCAGTTGTTGCAAAACAATCGATGCTAATGCACCTTTTATAATTATTTTAGAAAAATAAATTAAATATATCAAATACATTGGTTGTCTTTGGAATAACTGATGCCAATGCTCTTTTTTTGGCGAAAAAATTAAGTAGAAATGACATCGGTGTTTTTTAAATCGATGCAATTGAACTTGACTAATTGCATCATTACAAAATCGATGCAAAAGGTGCAAATAAAACAACCAATGCCAAAACCTGTTTTTGTAGTAGTGGTTTTTGTAGTAGTGGTTGCTGATTGAAAAATAGAAATATGGTACAACTCATACAAGTTTGATATTGAATTTTTTAAAATAAAAAATCTATTACAATTTGACATGGACTTATGTTAATATTTCTCATGTCGTTTAATAATTAAAATAATTTTTTAATTTAAAAGCATATTTTTTGGTTAAAAAAATTAATGAGGAAAGAAAACTTATTTTTGTTTAAAAACATTTAAGGTGGAAGAACTCTAAAAATTGCATATGTTCGTGGAGTCATCCAAATAAAAAAGAAAAATCCAAAGATAATACCTACTCATAAGGGCAGACAATGTTGGAGAAAAAATGTTTATAAAACTTATTAGTTAATAGTCCATAAATATGATTGACTCTTCAAAGCCTATGACTTTTATAATATTTTGAATGCCTCTCATTTTTTATATACTTTTTAAAATCTGAATTGAATACTACTACACTTTTGTAGGATTTTTAATAATTTTTTGAAATCTTAATTGAATACACCAAGATTTTCATAGATTTTACATGTGTTTAAAACAATTTTTCGAATGATTTTTTGTATCTTTGACTGACTTTAATTTGTATTAATCGAACAGCCAACTCTATTGTTTGGCTAATAATTTTTTCAAAATCCAAAATCTAAAAAGTCCAGAGGAGTAGTTTTTGCCTTTTGGACTTGAGTGTTAGAAAACTTAATTTTTTTTCATTTTTCCTAAAATATATTTAATAATATATGTAAAAAAAATAAGTTAAAAAGTCAAAATCGTTAAAAGTTGTATATTATTAATTTCTAATGAATTATATGAATGTGAAATTTTATACTCTGTATATTCAAGATTTAATTTTTAAATATGCACAAATTTGTTGGTCATTTTCCGAAAGGAATTTCACGGTGTCTTTTTTTTTGCAAGAAATTTAGTGTGCGAGTAGGGCTAGACACGGTACCGGCAGTGGCGGATCCAGGATTATAAATGGCTGGGGGCGGGATAATAAGGTGGGTGTTCGGGGGCAGCGCCTCCAAATTTTTTTAAAGATGTTTTTAAATTATGATGGTTTTCATTTAATTTTATATCAAACAAGTTTAAAATAAGTAAAGCAAAGTATTTCAAAAGTTACAAAATGTTATACGGAGTACTAAATGAAATACATATAACTAAAAAGTATATTTAATAACACTAGAGTATTACAAATACTTCACGTTATATTCTATTTAAAATGCAAAAAATTTTTTTACTCAATCCATAACCAAAAATTTGAATAAATTAAGAAGTAGTATTTGCCTATTTGGATTGCTTTTGGGATTGAGCTTTAGGAAATTAGTTGGACATCTTATTTACTAGACTGGTCCAATGGGGGCTGTCTTTATTTTTTTACTAGGAGCAATATACTTAAAACTAAAAAAATAAAAAAAAATTATAAAAAAAAATATTTTGACTGGGGCAGCTGCCCCCATATTCAATAGGGTGGATCCGCCCATGGGTACCGGTACCGTTACCAGCAAAGGTACCGCCGGTACCCCCACCGTCACCACCGATCGTCCCGTAGCTCCAGTTTCGGGGAACCAGTACTAGCACCGCCACCCACGGTACCTGTTCTGGTGCCAGTTTTTCGATACCGGCACCGGCGGTACCAGTACCGGTTCCGGTACATTTACTTTTTTTTCCGTTAATGTGTGGCAGACCTGCTCACCTGCAAAAAAAAAGAAACAATTAGTGGGGGGACCCCTCAAACGGCTAGAAGGTCGTTGAGGGGAAGGTGGGTGGGGGGTTAGGGCTAGGGGGGGCTATTAACAATTTAATATACACTATAAATTCATACATTCACACAGTCACACCATTCACAATCTCTCATTTCTTAATATATTCATCATTTCCTTTCTAATTTTCTATTAATCCCTATTATTATCTTTTCAATCTTTATACATTTTATATTCATATAATAATACTCATATACTTTATATTCAATATATAATTAATAATTTAAATATTTAATATAGTCCTTTTTAATCGAAATAAAAATATATTAAAATGTCGAGAGAGTCCAGTAGAAGGTCCGTGGATATTGGCGTTGTGAACCGGAGTTCGAGGAAAGGCAAAGCTAAAGTCACCTCCGACGGTTCGAGCTCACGTGGTTCTCAAGGAAGACACTCCGTCTCTTCCTTACCTACTATCCCTGATCAATTCGTGGGCGACGCTATGAAGGATCAAGAATTCGAACAATATTTGGCAGGTAGAACCAATGCCATTCTTCCAACTCTTGAAGATATATTCGAGGACATTGATGAAGAAGAAATGGACGTGAAGCTTACTCCGTAGAGCAACAATCCTACCCACACTGACGAGGAGGCAGGTGAGCCTGAGACCTCTCAAGAACCAGGGAAAGGTAAAAAAAATTAAAATATGATTTAATCATTTTTCAAAAGAAACAAAAAATGGCAAAGTTTTTTGGAACTTGTAATTATTGTGGCATCGTCATTAAAATGGGAATTTCCGGCGGTTATGGTGGTCCGGAAAAATACCTAAGGGCGAGGCACCCTATGGAGTATGCCAAATACGTTACGAAAAAGAAGGAACGACAAGAAATGCAAACCCAATTTTTCGGTCACGTAACAGGGGTAAGGACGACCTTTTTGCTCATAGCGACGAGCAAAATAAGCAAAATTTGGCCGAAATGATTTGTGAAGAAAATTTGACATACATGTTTTCTGAAAAACTTGTATATATTGATTATTGTCAAAATACATTAAACCCTCAAGCAAGAGGTTTTTCAAGAAAAACAATTAGACTAGGAATTATTCAATGGTTCTTGCAGTAGAAACACAGAATATTGATTTCAATTTTGTAATTATGGTGATTCATTGACATTTTGAAATCATTTTGCAGGATAACGAATTTGAGAGAGAAGCTGCAAAAGTTCTTAAGGGAGACTTCTTTGGTAAGTCATTCTCTGTTCACTTCCTTTAGAATATGAGTTGAGCAGAAGGTGTTTGATAAAATGCCAATAAGATGCATTTGCTTGAGTATAAATGCGAAACAGTTCAATTTTCTACTAACATAGATGAAATGAACTACTTTCCCCCTTTTTCATTTTTTGTTTCTTTTTCAATTGCATACTTGCGAACATCCATTACACATTGACGCGATGGTGTAGCAGTTGATACTCCTCTCAATCTCTCATAATCCCCCAAAAAATTACAATCACCAACCAAACACCGTTTCACACCGTAATAGCTTCTTCGTTTGAGGCAAAATGGAAGGAAGGAAAGGTCAAGGAAAATGGAGATTTTTTTCCCTTGATTGGTAGTGTTAAAAAAAGTAGGGAGGAGAATTTGAATAATGCATTTGGCCCACAACTTTTTTTCTCTGCACCCATGGACAGAAAAGTAGGGAGGAAAAGGCGGGAATGCTAAAGTTCCATAATTGCTCACTCTTTAATTAAAAGCATCGTGGCTACGGTGTACTACATTTGGAGCACCACGAATGCGATATGCTTTGATTACTTATTTTTAGATATTATTTATCTTGTTTCTAAAATCAAAGTTGTGATTTATAGAATTTAGTATAACTTGTTCCCCCTTGTATGATTCCTTGTGTTTCTTGTTGTTTGAGGTATCGGTTGTGAAAAGGTACAACCTGGGTTGTTGAGGATACTGCACAACCTTTGCACACCTCAAATCTTTACTCTGATACACTCTCTTGGTTCGGCCTGCGAGCCTCTGTAGAGATATACTTGTAGATCCATTTTATTCTTTTATTTTTTCACTTTTAGTTTGTTACAAGTTAGTTAGAGAACTCGCTATGTTTACAATTGTCCTTATCTTTTTTTTCCTTTTATATACTCCCTTTATATAAGTTTCTTGTGTGTAAGAATGAATACACAATTCAATGGCTCTTGTTCTTTTTTCTTTCTTTCTTTCTTCTTCTTCATCTTCTGATTTCCAAATGGTATTGGAGGTTTCGCATTAGAAGAATCTCTCAAAACTATTGTTCATTCATCTGTAGCTTTGTCTAGCTTCTTGCGATTAAGCTCTAGTCGTCATCAATGGCGAAATCGAACAATGAGGAACAACGGAGCACTGTACTTGATCTTTATGGACTCACTAGACCAGATAATGCTGGTTTAGCCTTAAGTACATCAAAATCCATAGGAATCAATATCTTCGCATGGAAATAGACTATTACCATAGAGCATGTGGCAAAATTCAAGCTCAGTTTCAATTCCAATGAAAGGATTGATGAATCAGTTTTAGAATCTTCATTTGAATTAGTGGCAGTCAGACTCACAAAATGCAGGTGATCAAAAGGTTGTTTCAGCTATAAGCCAAGAAGTAGCGAAAATGTTCAAAGGAAAAGCTGAGCAGGGAGAACTCCATGAAGTTAATGTGGTCTCCACCAACTTTACATGTATGGCACCTGATTCACACTTTGTTCTGAATAGTTGAGCAATAATCTGGTTGACGAGTGTCATTGGATAGTTAATACAAGAGCCTCTGATCACATGTCTCCTCATCAAACCCTTTTCCATAACCTTGCACCATTAGAAATGTGCACATAATGGATCAGGTCTTCATTAACCCACACTTTATCTTATAAGATGTTCTCTATGTTCTAGACATTAAATTCAACCTTCTTTCTGCAGGAAAAAACCTTTTCAATAAGTCTTGGTCAGCTTATTTCTTACACAATCCATTCATGTTCCAGGACCTTATAACTAAGTTACTTCACTCACCTCTGCCTCTACAGAAAGTCACTATTCAAGACCTGCTTATTTTTCTCCAAATGTCAAAGTGTTCTATAAAGAGTCTGTATAGACTTCCTGTGAGATTGGGTCATACATCTTTGTTTAGACTGTCATATTATTGATTGCAAGTCTTTAGCTCAACATAAGTTTGTTTGTGATGCATCTTCATTGGAAAAAATGCACAGCTTCCTTTTCCAAAGTGTAGTGTTAGTGATTCTATGTCTCCTTTCTCTTTAATTCATGTGAATTTATGGGGACCTTACTAGACACCAGCTTTTAATTGGGCCAAACATTTAAAACCATTGTTGATGATAAAACTCAAGCTACTTGGGCTTATTTGCTGCATAACAAGGACCAGGCACGTTATGTCCTTCAAACCTTCTACATGTGTAAGGAGTGACAATGGGACTGAGATAGTAAGTCTGAATGCCATAAACTTTTCTCCAACGTATCATTCATTAGAAAAGCATGACCTATACCCATCAACAGAATGGAGTAGTGCAAAGAAAACATAGACATCTCTGAGAAACAATTAGACCTTTTAGACTTCATGCCAATTTTCCTATCATTTTTTTGCGTAGATTAAAAACTTGCAGGAGTTGCAGCCAGATACCTTATAAACGAAATGCCCATGGCCAAGTTATCTTGGAAAACCCCTTTTGAAGCCCTTTTTGGTCATTCACCTAAGTATGAACATTTAAAACTATTGGATGTTTATGTTATGCCAAGGTGACATCAAATATTTCTCATGATAAATTTGTTCCTAGAGGAAGAAAATGCATTCTTCTATGCCATCCTACTTCTAAAAAAGGCTTCAAACTATTTGACCTCAACACCAAAACCAGATTTTCTGAGTAGAGATATGATTTTCCCTAAAAGTATCCTTCCTTACAAATCCAATTCTTCATCCGCAGAAACCAGCCCAGATTTCTTCTCCCAGTCCTTTCAATGTCATAAATGATGACAATATGTCTACTTTTCACCCAGAACCTACTCCCCGAATTGGTCATACTATTACTTCCAGTGAATATCCAATTACTACTATTCCTCCCAATGAGCATTCGATTACTACTTGTGCTCCACTCTTTCCGCAGTCTCCCATACTCTCCCATAATCCTCTTCCACTACTCAACTATATATAGACCACATAGGACTACTAAATTCCCTGCTAAATTTTCAGACTATATTGGTCGTACGTACTCTTCGTCTCTTCCTCACAATGTTTAAACCAATTGTTCCACATCTCATCATCTTTTTTCTATACTTTATTATCCTCAACCCCTGGTTTCACCAATTTCTTGGCTAATGTATTAACTATCTATACACCTACTACTTATCCTTAAGCTAACAAAACCCATGTTGTGTCACTGCCATGGTTAAAGAGATTGATGCCCTTGAGACTAATTACATGTGGATATTAACATCTTTACTAAAGGGATATAAAGCCATTGGTTCTAAGTGGGTCTGCTGATAGATTATAGGCCAAGTTGGTGATCAAGGGTCATTATAAATTAAAAGCTTGGGAAAGATTACAAACATACCATTTCTACTGTTGCTAAATTTCCTACTGTTAGAGTGATAATTACTCTGGCTGCGGCTTTTAATTGGCCCTATACCAATTAGATGTAAACAATGCCTTCTTCCATGGTCATATTGATGAAGACATTTACAAGCTTCTTCTTGAGGGTTACACCACAGCTCTCCCTGTTCAGGTTTTTATACTTTATAGGTCCCTTTATGACCTTAAACAGGCTTCTCGCCAATGGAACTTGGTGGTTAGCACATTTCTTGTTACTCAGTCTTGAGTATTTCCAATCCAAACAAGATTATTACATGTTTGTTAAAAAGGATGCTCAAGCCTTAACAGTTTCTTTACTCTATGTTAATGGTATATTACTCACTCGAACTTCGCTTTTCTGAGATTTTAGCAACTAAATTTGCATTGCATATGAAGTTTACCATTAAGAACTTAGGGGCAGCTAAATATCTTTTTGGAATAGAAATTTGTCCAACTAAAGATGGTCTTATCCTTCATCAACACAAGGACATCTTGGAAAATGGAAATACTGTTAGATGCTGGGTTAAATAAAAGGTGCCAAACCTACCAAGTTTCCTTTACCACAGAATTTGAAGCTTTCACTATATCCTGGCAAACCACTTCCAGACCATACAGGCGTCTTGTTGGCAGATTTCTATATCTTGGTCTTACACGACTTGAAGGTTTTTATGGTGTCCCACATTTGAGCCAATTTGTTTCTGCTCTTACTACTCAACATATGCAAGCTGTCGCCTATGTTATCCGGCCATTACCTTAAAGGAACCATTATCGTATTCAGCAGAAGCTTCAACTGACATGTTTTTCTTATGCTGACCGGGATTCTTTTCTTATGACACGCAGATCTCTCACTAGCTATTGCATATTTTTGGTTCATGCTTTGGTATAAAAGCATGGCTGCCACCACTTGTGAACTTCTATGGTTGACTTATTTGCTCCATGATCTTCATATTGTATGTAGTCTCTTTGCCAATTACCATGTTCTGTGACAACAGGGTTGCCCAAAAAATAGCTGCCAATCTTTATGCCCGTACTCAACACAACATGCTACCTTATCTTTTCGGTTGGGCCTTCGACCGTCTCTAGCTTGAGGAGGGATGTAGAGATACTTGTAGATCTATTTTATTCTTTTGATTTTCACTTTTAGTTTGTTACAAGTTAGTTAGACAACTGGGCTATGTTTACAACTGTCTTGCTTGCTGTTGCTGCATTTCCGATGTCGGTGTTGTCGTTGGGTGGCCCGTGTGCCGTCTTCTTTTGGTGCTCGGGTATGTTCGTTCCATTCTTGTATATATGTTCACTTCTCTTACTAAATATATTATTTACATGTTACCCAAAGAAATCAAAGTCTTACTCCTTCAGGCAGACAGTACACCCCTAACACTTCACATCTTCAACAATTTCTTCTTCAATTTGCTTTAGACGACGATTTCTTGTTTTTTTAATTACTATATTTGAGATTTGTAGTTTATACTTAAATTATCACATCTTCGATTTACGATATTTTATCAAATTTTCGATATACTTTAATCACATCTTCGATTTACGATATTTTACTTAAATTATTTTCTCAAGAAAATTTATTTGAGAGTTGGGGTGGAATTAAAAGATAAAATTTACTTATTTAAAAACTACTTCTAAACTTCCATGAAACAAGAGCTGACATTATTATATTATTTTATCAAATAATTAACAAAAATAGAGAAAAAAAGTAAAAAAGATTGAACTTGTAAATAGTAAACAGATTATTTAATTTGGGAGGGAAGGAATATATTTTATGAAAACATATTATGTTTATTTTATACTTCTACAGTTCAATTTTTATCGTTTTTATTGGGTATGACACAAATTTTTAGAAAAGTGTGAACATGGATGATTAAAAGTGATTCATAGGAGAAAGAAATATGGTCAACCACCAAAACCTTTCCAAAAAAGAAACATGATTTCTTTAAGGATTTTCTGAAAAGAAAATAAGAAAATTAATTTAAGAAAATTAATTTGGGACAGAGGGAGTAGTAAATACTAAATAAAGCTACTATTATAAATAGAACAAATTGTTTATTAATATAGGGTAAAAATCTCATTTTCTTTTGAAATGTTTTCATTTCTTTTCACTTTTCCATCCAAACAAACTAACCAATTTGGTTTTATTTCTATTCTTTCTTTCTTCTCTATTTTCTACCTTCCCAAACTAACATATGAAAAATTCAAATTCTTTCTAATTTCTTTTGCTTCCTTTCTATTTTTTTCCACTCATTTTTTCTTCCAATCAATCAGGGGTGAGAAAAATTGTTATGACCACCAAGTATATGCGGCCAAAAAAATGCACCAACCGTCAAGAAAACAATCAGCACATCAAAGAATGACCATGTTGAGACCACCTCCAAATTAAGAGTTTAGTTTCGTGGTCATAAGCTCCACATAAAAATTGTGAATATTCTCACATTTTTATAGCTTACAAGCATATCTTTTTTCTTCTTCAAAAGGCAGAAGATAAATTCTTCCGTGATCCTAAGGTTCATACTCATTTCATAGACCTTAGTGTATTGATAACGTAAAAGAATTGAGTCTTTTGTAAAAAAGAAAAAAGATTCACTTGTCAGCTCATGAAAAATGTGTGAACGTCCAAATTCTACATGTGGACCTTAGAACCACAGAATAACTACTCTTTGCAAAAAGCTCAACTCTTACATGGTACTTGTGTATTAAGGTCCATACAAGCTCAACTCTTACATGATACTTATGTATGTATTAAGGTCCATAAATTGAGTATTAACCCAAGGACCACATATGAATTTGCTCCAAGTTAGAACGTCTTAAACACACAAATCGATTAAAGAATCTTCATCGGCTTATATAAGTTGAATAAAGTTAGAGTAACCCCAACACTTTAGGGTAATCATGACTTTATGTTTTGCAGATACGCATAGAAAATAACTAGCATTGCCGCATGATAGTTAAGTTATCGTTTCTATGTGTCTATGCAAAGTATTTGGTCATGGTAAATTCAAAATGCTAGAGCTACCCTTACCTTAGCACAACCCATATAAGTTACCTATTATGTTGTAATGTCAATTTTGTCAAACTTGGTGTCACTATAGCTTTTTCCTTATTATTGATAACAATGTGGTACCCACAAACTTGTCATTTTTTTATATTTGAAAAATATGTGGTTTACAAATTTTTTTTCTCTAATGCACAAACTTAATAAAAGAAACGGAGGAATTATTTAGTCAAAATATTTTCATGTCCAAATTTACATGGCTCACAATATTTTCTTCTTCTTTGTAAATTTACTTGATTAACCATACATTTTTAACTTTATTTAAAATTATGCAGAGTAAGAAAGAACACATCTTTTGGAGACATTAATTATTTAATCAGGTTGTATTTTTTAAAAGTTTTTTTTCCTGCAGGTCCTGAAGTCCAGAGCGAGTACTTTTCCATCCCCCCTTTTATTTTAGCATCAATCATTTTGCGCATTCAACAATGAATTGAAGTAGCTAGGCTTGTAGTTAAAAAAGACAAAAACCTATATAGTTGCTTTAAAATTTACCTCTTTCTCATTCCACTGCTCATATGAAATCCTTATTGAATACTCGTAGCATAATAGCACATAAAAGGATGGACAAAGATGAGACAAGACAAAGGTCCAGTTCAACATAACAATAGGGTAGAGGGACCATCCACGCGTCATAATTAGGACAACGTTAGGAGAACCTCACTTTTGACACCACTTTTGACATCAAAGGCAAACCCAATACAAACACTCACGTACAGATACTCCTGCGCAGAGACAGTTATTGCCCGTGTTTGTTTTTGGTGTCAAAAGTGGAGTTCCCCAAACTTTTTCATCATGCTTGTGGAGTTCTAAGATGAGCCACAAAAGTGGTCTTCATCAAGATTCTTGAAGTTGGGATATGGGGAGGTAAGTTGCAACTCGGTGACCATTTGGCGAAGCTCCAAAGTCTCTTCTTTGAGCTGCGCGTTCTCTTGGAGCGCCACGTCGTGGCGCTCCGAGATTTGGTTCAGTTTCTCGAGAAGCTGGTGGTTCTCGTTCCGGAGCCAAAGCACCTGGGACCAGAGCTCGTCCAGGTGCTTCTGCTTCCGCATGCGCGACCTCCTAGCAGACTCGCGATTCGATATCATCCTCCGTTGCTTCCTCTCGATGATGAGGCTCAGTTGTTGCTCTTCGGATTCATCCGATGTCGAGTTGTTGCTGAAACACGGCCCGTGCGCATTGAATTCCTGGACGTGTGGGGCCATCTGGAAATAGTACGACGCGGCAGGATTACATACCCCGCCGCTCAGTTGAAATTCGGGGATGTTGTTGTTGAACCCAACATGATGGGTTGGATATATGTTTGGGTAATTGAGACTTGTGATCTCAACCGGCTGCATTTTTTTTAACAATTATATTAGTGAAGGGGTATGTGGGGGCAATTATATTATGTCTTAATTAGTTGATGAAGGGCTTGGTGGAAGAAGCTATATTGTTGGGAAGTGATATACACGAAACCAAGGAAAGGAGTCCTTTTATAGGATAGGAAAAGAGAGAAGTGGGCCCCATTGTATAGGGAAATTTTTCTAGTGGTAGTGGAGTACCTTAAATTCCTCAAAGAAGAGACCAACAGAGACTATGACACACTATGTTGTGTCTTGCATAAATTTACTCCCTACCATAGTACTGCTTACAATTCCATTTTTGAGATAATTATTATCTGTGTGTGTCTGTGATAAACTTGGTGTATGGGGCCTAGCTTTTTTTTTCTTGTGTTTAATCTTAGTGGGGAGGGTTTGAATGTGGTGAACAATAATTAAACCTTTCTTGCATGGCCCGGATTGGAGATTTACTTTTTCCTACACTATTTGTGCAGTGTATTACATTGTCATTATTTGATAATAAAAGATAAAGCGAGACAACCAAGTTGGAATTAATTACACCCAGGCCAACTGCTTTACTTAACCGCTTTCAATTTTCTAATTGAAAGGGAACCGCCCTCTCCCCTTTTTTTTCACTTGATTATTGTTGTTCTACTTGAAGCCGTGATTAGCTAGCCCAATGCATGTAGCAGTCAAAAGTTTCTTCCTTTTTCATTTTTAACTTCTTTTAGGGTAGACCAAAGGTAGGTGAGGCCCCCAACTGCCATGCCATGATCACCATATAAGCTATGTTGCTTCCCACAAGTTCTTTACTCCCTTCCTTCTCAACACGGGTTCTTAGTTTGACCAAGTGTAAAATTAAGAAAGTGTGACTTCTAAGTTTGCCTTGATGTGATACGTAAAAGTAAGATGTGATGGATAGATTATTAGAGAAAGAGTATGATATGATTGGTAGGAAATGAAATAGTAAGGGTAAAAGTGGTTTTTTTAATAGAAAGTAGAAGTGTTTTGTCGGAATTAGAAAAATGAAAGAGAGTGTTTTTTTTAAACGGAAGAAGTATTAATTAGTAAAACAAATTAAATGTCCCTCCAAGAATATAATCTCTTCAATGCTATGCTATTGATGATGTAGAGATCATTGGAATTGGAAGGTATAGTTGCTTCCTAAAATTCTTGTTAGCGGGCGAAGAAATTTATGATCAAACTATTTTACTGCGTTTTCAGTACTCGACACTTCGAGTCAAGTATTTGTGCAAACGTATACTCCGTATATAAAAAATACCCGCTAACAACACTGTTGTTTAACTTCCTTTTACTTTTTTAAAAGTGTACTTATGAATAATTTCATTTATGGAGGTCTCTTTACAAACTTTGCATATATGTATGAATAATTTAATTAACGGAGGTAGTACCTAAATTATTGATTCATATTAGTTTTTTGAATTTAATATTCAATAAGTATTCTTTGCTTTTTCATTACTTAAATTATTTTTAAAGTAACTTATAATATTTACATTTTATTCATATTTTTTTTTATGTATTTTTTGTTTAAAAAAAGATTAAATTTAAATTTTACGGTGTAATATTTAATCATTATCGTTTGGTTGTTCATTGTTTAAAATTTTATAGTAATTTTCAATATTTCAAATTTATTCATATTTTTTAATGTATTTTTTGTTTTATAAAAAAGGTTAAATTTTATGCATTAATAGTTCTAGTAAAATAAAAATATAGTAAAAGTGGAGTAAAAAATAGAGTAATAATGTGAGTGTATTTGGGGATGTTTGGAAGAACTTTGGACTAAAGGAAAAAATTACTTCTATAAAAAGTGTAAGGAAGTGATGCATACACGTGGATCTACAAAAACATAATACTCCCTTACCCACCAATTATTTTCACATTCACTATTTATAGTTTTATACACTCTAATTTTATTGACTTTACTTGCTTATTTTCACTATTTTTTATAATATAATTTTGTATCGTCACATATTATTTTTTTACTCTGTAAAAGTTTTGATATATTTTTAAATATATAAATTTTATCTTGAAATCTTATACTGGGATTCAAATAAAGAAAGTGAAGCACTACCCATAAGTTTAAGTGTTTAGTTAGAAAGGAAATCCTGACTTTATATGAAAAAATTATCAAATCTCACCCGACATTCCAACATTCTACATTTATAATAATAAAAAAATATAAACAGGGAAAGATATAACTCTAATTAGTGTGTAGAAGAACTTGGCATGAATCCAAATCAAGGAGTGTGGAGGATGATGACACAGGGAAAGAATACGGATGGGAGTAAGGAAAAGGTACACGAAATATCTGAGTGTTTTTGTTCAATAAACTGCTCAACTTTACCAGAACACTTTGGCCGAGAAGATCGATGCGTGTGGTTGGTTGATTACCCGCGTTCCCTCCCATTACACAGAAATGGATCAATCCAACTCCCACACATTCAAAACTAATCCTCCAGAAAAACGAGCCACATCTCCGAGGGCTTTCTCAAAATCGACTCGACAGTTAGCTGACAAAAGGTGGAGCGTGCACTTAACATAATTGCCTGGCAACGTATTGCCAAGAATCAAAATCGGGTTTACCCCGTTCGACCGGGCAGGTATTTGAGAGGAGCCAAATTGAGCTATAATCACAGACCGATTGACAAAGAATGAAGCTTCACTTGATACTTGCAGAGGCCCTATGTTTAACATAATTGCATCGCTACACAGTTGCCAAAAATCAAACTCGAATTTATCTCCTTTAGCATCTCTTGCTCAACCAACTGAGCTACTTCGGGCTACTAATCCTCCTTTAATTTTGGGCAAAGGGGAGGGCGACAACTTAACAAACTGTTGAAATGAATAAAAGTCCTTAGCTTGGAGATGTGCATGCATGGTTGGATGGGTTGGTGGTGGGGGAGGGGTAGAGGTAGATTGGATGTACTTTGAATTTTGAAATTCAGTCCCCCACTAGCAAAAAGAAACTCCTAATGAGTCCAGACTTGTACAATTCTCATGGCATGGCATATCTTCTGTTCCTCTCTCTCTCTCTCTCTCTCTCTGGCTGTGGCCTGTGGGTCATCAATACTATTAAACCAGATTGACTCTACTTTCTATTCTTGTCTTGTTCAATTCCTTCCCTTTTTTCTTTGTTCCATTATTTCTGTGCCCTCCTTTTCTCTACCCTCTGCTAGCTCGCCTTTTTGATAGGGACTCCTTTCACGTGGGACTCTCCCATGTCCCATTCCCTAGTGCTCCTGTTGATGTATTCCTTGCATTTGTCCTCTCTACCTACCATATATGTACCTACATACACCCTCAATACTATGATATGTTGTGAATTCTCTTTGGGATACACCAAGTTTGATACCACTTTTCACACCACCGATCTCCCATACATTCACACCCACGGAAGACTACCGAATGTCTTTAATTGTCTCGTAAGAAGATGGGGGTAAAAATTGTTTGTGCTCGATCATCACATAAGGCATTATATGTGTAGAGTTAGTTTTACCAAATTACGAGCATATTTTCATTTTGAGTAGGTGCTATATTTTGTTATGATTGTTTAGTGTATGTGGTTTTAGGAGTATTTTTTTTGAGTCACAAACATAGTTTGTTTTTATGAGTACGGTAATTGAACTCCGTGTGCAAAAGAGTCACTCTGTATTATACAATAATAAATATATGCTTAAAAGATGGATTTTTTTTGTTTACACAGGTTTCTATTGTGAGACATAAAATCATAGAGGGTCATGCTACACTTACACCACAAATTGTACACCATTTGTACACCACAGGTATACACAAACATTTTGATGGTTTAAACCGACACAAGTGTTGGTGCGTTAATAAAAATTTACACAGACACAAAGTGTTTGTGCATTAACAAAAATTAGTTTTACACCAACACAAAGTGTTGGTACAAACTTGCGGGGTACAAAATGGGGTACAAAATATGGGGTACAAGTAGCTTTATCCAATCATAGATTCACACTTTGAAGATGTATCATATCTAAATGGTATTCATGTTATAAAATGCTTATATCCTGTGGATAATATGTTTAGAGTATATTCATACATAGACAATTACATAGTAACGATCCGGAGAAAGTGTGAAAGGGTTAAGTGTTTGTGAACATGTAATGATATGTACTTGTAAAGGTAATTATAGATGTCACAATACTAAAAAAAAATACTGTAACTTATACCACAAACAAGAATTCCAACAATTTTGATTTACATTTTTCATGTAACGTAAAGCCATGTGGCAAAAAGCTCAACAAGGTACTGACCTCACAGATAAAAACAACCAACAGTTGTTGGAGTGGAGATTCATATAGATTAATACTTTGTAGATCAAGTACACAATACAGTATTAATTATGTTATCAAACTCAATAGGAATTTGTATTTGTATTTTTTTACAGAAGCATAAATTTAATACTATACAAATTTGAAGAAAGATTATTTTCATTAATTGAATTGTGTGGAGAGTACATGTATATATACAAAAGTCTCAATCCTAGTTATGGTAGGAGAGATATTCTAGGAAACCTATACAAGTATGTCAATAATAATACAATAATATTAAATATATTTTATATATTTAACATGCTCCCGGCTACGTCGGATGTGCTGGGGGTCGGATACCTAGACTTTCTCTGAAGTCAAGAAATAAGAGTGAGGGCAGTCCCTTTGTAAAGATATCAACAAACTGAGAAGATGAAGGAACATGAAGGACTTTGATCTGATCGAGTGCCACCTTATCGCGCACAAAGTGTATGTCAACTTCAACGTGCTTGGTGCGCTGATGCTGCACAGGATTTGACGAGAGGTAAACCGCACTAACATTATCACAAAAAACAAATGTGGTGCGACGGAGTGGCTGCTAGAGCTCAAGGAGAAGATTTCGGATCCAGCTGCTCTCTGCGACAGCATTTGCTACAGCCCGGTATTCAGCCTCGGCGCTGGAGCGAGAAGTGGTGGCCTGGCGCTTGGACGACCATGAAACAAGATTGTCACCCAGGAAAACACAGTAGCCCGATGTGGAGTGTCTTGTATTAGGACAGCCAGCCCAATCAGCATCAGAATAAGCCTGTAAGTAGTTGGTGGCGGATCATGTTAAGTAAATGCCATGGGTGGTAGTGCCACTGAGATAACGAAGAACATGCTTCATGGCTGTGAGGTGGGCGCCGCGTGGGGCATGGAGATGTAGGCAGAGCTGCTGGACTGCCTATGTGATGTCAAGATGAGTGAAAGTGAGATACTGCAGCGCGTCAACAACGGACCAGCAAAGAGAGGGGTTGGAGAGAGCCGTGCCAGCCGATGCAGACAGCTTCGCCTTTGTATCCACCGGGGTAGAGATGGGTCGACAAGAAACCATCCTTGCCCTCTCAAGGATGTCGTGTGTGAACGGAGTCTGGTGGAGGAAGAGGCCGGAAGCTGTGCGGTGAACATTGATCGCAAGGAAAAAGTGCAGATCGCCCATATCTAGCATGGAGAATTCAGCATTGAGCTGCTGAATGAGACTCTGTAGTAGTGCCGGGGAGGATGCTGTGGGAACTATGTCATCCACATATAGTAATAAGTAAGTCGTGCCAATGGGCTGAGAGAAGACAAAGAGGGATGTGTCGGCCTTACATCCTCTAAACCCAATAGTCTGTATGAAACCAGCAAACCTATGAAACCATGAGCGTGGTGCTTGCTTGAGACCATAGAGAGCCTTCTTGAGTTTGCAAACATAGTGAGGGTGAGCGGGATCCTGGAACCCAGAAGGCTGACTGGCATAAACGGTCTCCTGCAGCTGGCCATGAAAGAACGCATTTTTGACATCAAGCTGATTAATAGGCCATCCTCGAGATAGAGCGAGACTGAGGACAACACAAACAGTGGCAGGCTTGACAACAGGGCTGAAAGTCTCGTCATAGTCAAAACCAAAACGTTGGTTGAAACTGCGAACCACCCAGCGGGCCTTATACCTGGATAACTCACCTTTTGGGCCAAATTTTGTCTAAAGAGCCATTTACCGGTGATAAGGTTTTGTGAGGGGGAGGGGGTACTAATTTCCATGTGTCGTTCTTTATCAAGGCATTATATTTATCACACATAGCAGCATGCCAGTTAGGATCTTTTAGTGCACTACGGTAAGTTGGGGATAACGGGGAAATGGTGACGTAGGTGTTAAGATTGAGAATTTGTTTAGGGCAAAAGACATCGGCTTTGAAGCGGGTATGCATGGGGTGAGTATTGGGTGCCGGATTGGNGTACTGGGCCGAGGGGGGATGTTGGGCCGAGGGAAGGGAGGGGGTGGATTGGGCCGTAGGGAGGAGTGGGTTTGTCAGGAGCGGGTTTGGCAGGTGGGATAGGGGGTTGGGGCCTGAGGGAGCTCAGGATGCTAATTCCGGGGAACGGGTCGAGAGCCTGGGGAGAGAGATCAGCCCGAGCAAGATGGGATGCGTGACGAAGTGGTACGACAAAGCGGGCAGGCACGGAGGCCACCATTATGGCAACAGGATTACGAGACATGACTTACACCTATTTAATATTCATTATTTATTTATGGTTTTATTAATTGTACTTAGATTTTATTAGGTGAGCGAAAATAAGCTTCTTCGAGGGTTTCTTTACGGTTCTTTACCTCGTCGTTTTTCTTGAACCGTCTGGATAGATAACGTAGACGTTAGGATTTATGATTAGGGTTTGCTCATATAAAAGGTTGTACCCTATTCTTGGGGAAAGCATCGGAAATAATAAACAAAACCCTAATTCTCTACATCCTTCTCGCCTCTCTCTTGGAGTACGGAGACACTCGAAGCTCTCCTTGTTCGTATCAGGGCCGTCATCCGTGGTGTCCAAAACTATGCAAATCAAAATATTAGAATCGTGATCGATACGATGTAGAATTCCATAAAGAACCAAAAAATTTGGTACAATATCGGTACGAGTTAAATACCGCACCATGCTCACCTCTAGTGAAAATGAACACCAAATCTAGACAAATTTTCTCTCCCTCTCTCTCTCTCAAAATGAAAAATGAAATTAAAGAAGATGAAAAGCGGTTGGATTCTGATAGGAGTACATCAAGGAAAAGCGGTTGGATTCTGTAAACCACTTGTACACCAAGTGTATCAGAGATACATAGACAACATATAATTCTTAGCGCTGTGCATAGATAAATACTATTTTCTGTTTATTTCTGTGATAGACTTGATGTATAGATGATGTACAAGTCTTGGTGTACACCAAGCATTATTGAAACTCTTGGAGGGCAAAGAAGATTAGGGTTTTTGTGAAGGAGTGCCGAGACCAATAGTTGAAGTGTAAAGCAGAGAAATATGTGGTGTCAACCAAGGGGTCAAAGTTGGTGTGCCTTTAGCATTATTGATTACACAATCTCTTTTCTTTAACAAATTTCAAAAATAATTCTACGTTTCAATGTTATGAAAATATTCTCACTCTCAAGTTTTCTAGCTATTGTGCATTTTAAGTCACTATTTGACAGAAAAAGTTAACGAAATGATGAATTGCAAGTATCTTTGTTTAATCACTTAAATTTTGTTAAAAAATGTGCCAAAATTAATGTTAAGTTCAATTTAATTTTTTAAATATTTTCATAGATTCGTGACAAATTTGCCTTGATTAATAAAAATTAAATTTGTCTTGATTAATAAAAAAATTTATATTCTTTTAATGGATAAAAAAGTTTTATAAATTTATTTCAACAACAATGGACTTAATAAAAGTTAAAAAGAGAAGTTAAAAAATAGGATTATTTTATGCAATTCAATAGAAGGTGAGATTATTTTACGTAACTCTACAAAAAAATGGGATTACTTTAGGCAAATAACAAAACAAAAGAATTTAACTCATCATTCCGTTAACTTTTCCGTAAAGAGGGTATCGGTGACCCAAAACGCGTATGAACTTTGAAAAATTGGGACTATTTCACATGACATTGAAAAGTATAATTATTTTTAAAAGCACTAAAAGGTGGGATTATTTTAAATAATTTCTAACAATTGGTATCATAGCCTAACTCTCTACAAGTCTTAACCTTTTAAGAGAATGATCTATTTTTTTATAGAATGTCGTATGCAGGATTAAGTGAAGGATACTCGATCCGCCGTTAGACCTCCACTCTTTTATGGAACAAACAACACCTATTAGAAGGAACGAAAGAGGATTTACATTTGGTCAATCAATTTCCAACTATGGTTATTTATCAAAAGCGGTGAGATGGTACCAATGAAAAAGGTTGGTGAAACCATCGTCCAAAGAAAGAGGAATAATATGATGCTGAAGACCTCAAGAAGGTAGAGGCCTTTGAAAAAGCATAACATGTGATCTTTTGAGCAATAAAACCGGATGACTACCAGAAAATCTCTTCTTGCACCACCGCCAAATAAATGTGGGGCAAGCTTGAAGTGACATACGAAGGTATGCATCAAGTTCGAAAAGCTAAAATTTATTTTCTAACACATGAATGTGATTTGTTTAAAAAGAAAGAAATTGATAGCATTGATCAAATGTTTGATCGATTCTCAAAGATCATCAACGACCTCCATGCCCTTTGGAAATCATACTGATACGGGTTTATATTTAGTTATTTACCATTATTATTATATTACTATTATTATTATTAAAGGTAGTTTATTATTTATGGTTAGATAATTATATTATTATTAGAAAGTATAATTATATTAGATTATTAGTGTTACGGTTTATTTAGTTACCTTATATGGTTAGGATTCTCAAGATCTACCATCTATATATGTAGCCATTTGATAAGTCGGGTTTGAGTTAGTTGTTTTTATTCTTTTTTGGGCATTTTTAATGTTTTTAGAGTTTAATTTTTAGTTATTTAGCTTAGTTTTATTTTAATTTCTTATTTTTAAGTTCTTTTTATTTTCTTTCAAAATTAGTAGTTTTTTAATCACTATTTACATTGTATTATTTTTATTTTATTTTTCCTAACCCAAAATTATCAGATATCTTGTTTTGTGGAGAAAAGCATAGAAACAGGCCAAATTGAAGTTCAAGTTTAAAAAGAAGAGGTTGAATTTGGGCCAAAGCCCAAAACCATCAACAAAAGTAGCCCATCTCTCCTCCCTCAATCTAAGTTAACGCCGACGACCAGGCGCTCCAACGTCTCTTTCTCCATGAATCTCGCTCAAGCGCTCCAACGGGAAGAAATTAAAGGCCCCTTGCTCCTACTATCATATAAATTGATGACGAATTGCAACTGAAAAGGGGGTGAAATCACACGGGAATAAAGCAGCGGCGTGGCCGCTGCTATGGCGGCGACCGGCGAGGCGGTGGCCAGAGTTCGACGGTGGTGGCGTATGGCAGCGACCATCTCTGACCAGTGTTGTCTCCTTCAAGCTCCAATTCCTCAATTTCTTCATCTTCTTCCTCTAATTGGTAACCCTATATTTGTCAATTTCTTTTTCTTCTCCAATTTCTTTGTAAAAGTGTTGTTTCAATTCAAATTTACACTTTTTTTTCCCTTGTTTGTGTTAGTTTCGAAAATTCCAAAATGGTTGGTGTTCTGGGTTTTTTATACTCCGTATTATATTAAATCCCTTATGAATGAAAATTGATTCTTACTAGTTTCTTTAATTATTGAACAAGTTGATGTTGAATTGGTTGAATTGTTAATTCAATTTCATAAGTAGGTTGGTATGTGGAATTTGGTTTTTATTGAAGCTATTTTAGCTCCATAAGATAGTTAAATGAACTCTGAATTCATATGTGATTCTTTGTTGTGCCTTGTGTTCGTTGATTTTAAGGAATTTGGACTTCTTAGCCGCATAAGACGATTCATTTTCCTTAGAATTCGTTATTGAGTGATTTTGTTATGTTATGTGTTTATTTTCCATTTTCTTTAAATTGAGATGGTTTAAGTGCAATAAATAATTCTTGATTCATTGAAAATATGTTGTGTTCTTCTATGTGAATAGAAAAAACGTCATTGGTTTAAGAAATTCATGGAAATCTGTGAAATGTGCTCTTCATTAGGAGAAAAAGTTTGTTAAAATGCATAAGGTATTGGCGGTTTGTGAATAGATTGTGCATGAGAGTTGAATGAAAAAAAATTCGCTCTTTTATAAACTTTTTCTATAGTAGAAGTATGTTTTCATGCTTGATTAGTGAGTTGTGGTTCTTGATTTGTCTCATTATGAAATTCTTGAATTGCATGACTCCGGGCCGTGTGGAGAGTTGACAATCCTCCATATCGTGGTTAAGGAAATGAATCGACTTGGCTTTTGATTGATTTTTCCTATTCTTAAGTGCGTAAGTTACGTAATATATTGTCTACGTGCCTATTATAAGCGTAATGTTTGATTTGTGTTTGTTCTCTTTTTCGTTTTGTTTCGGGTTCTTGGCGGTGTTTCTTGGGTTACCTTTGTTGGAGGAGATGATTATCTTTAGAGCTTATTTTCCCCCATTTTATTAAAAAAATCAAAAAATAAGAAAATATAAAAAACCAAAAATATATTTCCTTTTATTCAACCCCCCCCCCCCTTTGTGTTGTGTTTAAGCTATATTAAATGTTCTTTGTTTATATAAGTTATATTTATGAATTTTTATATTTATTTAGTTATAAGTTTTATTATAAGTTTATAAGTTCTTATCATATGTGTAGTAGTTAGTTTGTTTTATTTAGTGACAACTTGTTTGCATACTAAATTGGTTTTAAAAAGTACAACATTTCTCCGTGGGATCGACCCTTACTTGCCCTAGCTATAGTTTTATTTGATTATATATCGGGGGTAAGCTAAGGTTATTTATAAATTTTTAATTTGTTTTGGGCCGCGCGACAAGTCTTCAACACCATTACTCATAAAATTATTATTCAATCAATAAGAAATCATTTTCCCTAAACCCTGGTCTCTTACTCTTCGCTCTCTTTCTTTTATTCCGCCGAATAAAGTGTCGTGTGATTTTCACTTCGCTTTCTTTTCCCTAATTCCATAACTCGAGGGTGCTAATCCTTCCTTATCGCGATACGATACCGTATCAATTAGTGATTTCATTCATGAACTCACCCAAAAAAAGTGAAAGATTAGTCACTACCATAGTTTTAAAGACCGGACATGCCGGTTCGGACCGTGAACCGGTGGCCCAACCGGTCCGGTCCAGCCCATTGGACCGCAACATGCTTCGAACCGCTCCAAACCGCTGTGAACCGGTAAAAACCGGACGGTTCGACCAATCTGACCAGTTTTCTTTTTTTTTTTTTCGATTTCTTGGCCCAAAAATCACACCTCCACACGAATTCAAACCCAAGACCTCTTGATACCAAAGTCAAATCCCTAACCATCTAAGCTAGAGTGCCTTTGTGTTACAAGTTCACTTTAATAATTTTTAATATTACATTATTAAAAAAATGTTTAAAGATTTCTTTTCATTTTAAGAACTTTAAATAATATAATATTATAGCTATGATTCAAACTCAAAATCATTGATATAATTGATACTATCACAAATATTGTGTAAAGATTTCATTTCGATGTTTTTTAATATAAGATAATTTATTTGAAAAAAAATATAATCAACTCTTTGTTTATAAAATATTTAATATTGTTTTTTAAATATGTAAATTTTATTGTTAAACTTAGTGACATAACTGAAGTAAATTAATATAGATTTAATCAAATGTTATAAATTAATATACACACACACACACACACACACACACACTCCCTCCGTCCCGCTATATTCGTCCACTTTTGACTTTTGGAACTGTTCATCTAAGCACTTTGACTCATCAAATTCTCTCAATGTGTAAGTCTAAATATAGTCATGCGTGATCTTGTTTGATTTGTCTTAACATATAGATTATTCATGAGTAAATTCTATAAAAAGTCCCCAGTTATAGGTCGTTTTACATATTTAGTCCTTACATATCAAATATTATTAATTAAGTCCCCAATTATGATATCATTTTTCACGAATGGTCCCTTTGTTAACGTTTTTGTTAAGAACATGAATAAAATTGTATATTCATACTTCTCTCTCCTCAATTAAGCTTTCTCCCTCCTCTCCTAGTCTTTCTCAAACTCGTCGCTGAGTTTGAAGCTCTAAACCCAAAACTGAAATGACCATTCCTCTCTCTAGGGGTGGATTCGGTTTTAACGGTTCGGTTTTAACATAAACCAAAGACAGAACGGAAGGCATATTGGCGGTACGGTTCGGTTCGGTTTTGTATAAAAAATGAGAAAACTCGTTATACGGTTCGGTTTTTAGCGGTTTAATTTTCGGTTTTTTTCAATTCTTTCGGTTTTTTAAAAAATGAATTTAAAAGTAAAATACTCCATAATTTGCAGTGAAAACTATAAAAATGCAGTAAAAAACAGGAAGAAATGCAGTAATTGACAGTCCCAAACCGCATTGACCAATAAAAAAATGTGTCATTCAAAAAACTGCAAAGATATGTCCAAAAACTGTAAGTACCAACCCAAAACACTACACACCCCCACTGTAAGTATCAACCCAAAACACAGCATTTCAAGGATATACCCGAAGCATATCCAAAACATTTGCTGGAAAATTACCCAAACATTAAAAAAATATTAAAGCACAAATGCTTCATACCCAAACATTTGCTAGAAAAAAAATAAAAAACATATGCTTCATACCCAGACATTTGCTGGAGAATTACCCAAACATTTGTTAGAATGACTTGATAAATAAAATTAAAGAACATATATGCTTCATACCTTCTGCGGCTGAATTGAAGAAGAAATAAAGTCAAGAAACTAGAGATTGAGGAGTCTAATTTCAGATTGAGGCGACAATTGCCCCCAGGGATTGTGGCGAAGTGGCGAGTAGCACTGCGATTGACTCTGATTCACTCCCGATTGTGGCGAGTTGGACTGCGGGTGTGGCAAACTGGCGAGTTGGATGTCGGAGACTTGGAGCGCAGCAAAGAAGTTTGGAGATCTGAAGAGCGCAGCGACTCCATCGAGGAAGATTGCCGTCTCTGCGATGGAGGAGTCTGACTTGACTACGGGTAATGGCGTAAACCTAAAAAGCAAAAGTGATAAAAGCGGAAAAGCCTAAAAGTCTAAAACTAATTAAACTTTAAAAGTTTCGGTTTTTAGCAGTTCGGTTCGGTTTTTGACCTCCAAAACCGCAATCGAAACCGAATGCAATCGATTCGGTTCGGTTTTTTGAATTCGGTTTTGGTTTTTTGCGGTACGGTTTTTTTGGTATTGTTCGATTGATTTCGGTTCGGTTTTCGGTTTTCCGGACCCAGCCCTACCTCTCTCAATGTTTAGTTTCCTGGTGGAACCTAAAATCAAAACCAATAAACTTTATGGATGAGTTTTATCGGTTAGGGGAAAGGAGTGCGAGGGGAGGAAGGAAACTTAATTTAGGAGAGAAATGAATGTGAACTTACAATTTTATCCACGTTTTTAACAGAAATGTTAACAAAGGACCATTCGTGGAAATGAATATAATAATTGGGGACTAAATTAGTAATATTTGATATGTAGGGACTAAATATGTAAAACGACCTATAACTGGGGACCTTTTATGGAATTTACTCATTATTAATATATAATTTCTATATTTTTTTAATATACAAATTACAAGATAAAATGGATTAAAGAAATGTATTGAATGGTGTGCAAAAATGAAAGTGGACAAATATAGTGGGACGGAGGAAGTATATACTCCCTGCGTCCCAGAGTATTTGTCCACTTTCATTTTTACACATCATCCAATGCACTTCTTTAATCCATTTTATCTTGTAATTTGTATATTAAAAAATTATAGAAATTATATATTAATAATCTATATGTTAAGACAAATCAAACAAGATCACACATGACTATATTTAGACTTACACATTGAGAGAATTTGATGAGTCAAAGTACTTAGATGAACAGTTCCAAAAGTCAAAAGTGGACGAACAAAGCGGGACGGAGGTAGTATAATTTAAAAAAATGTTTAAACCACCGGTTCGACCAGTAAAACCACTGGTTCGACCAGTAAACCAGTGAACCAGTACCGGGACCGGTTCGGTCACCGGTTCGGTTCTGAAAACTATGGTCACTACCATCAAACTTGCCGCCGTCGTGCAGCAATTCAAGGGACAAGATTTGAGGTAATAGCCTCAATTTGGTTGCTTCGGCCCAGGCAAAAAAAAGATTTGGTTGCCTCAAGAAAATATATATTTGTTGATAATAGCCTCAATTTGGATGCTTTGGCCCAGGCAAAAAAACAAGATTTGAGGTCTTATTACTATAATATTTTTAGTGATATTTTTGTGTGTTGATGTTTATTTTGGAAATGGACTCACGATTGGACAAAGTTCGTGGGTTCTGGGTTTACTCGAAAAAGTTCTCCGGGGATAAATTAAATTTTATGAAGGAGTGTGTTCAGTTGAAGATTCCGTGGATGAGATTATAAAGAAACTTCAGGCATTCCGTCAAATTGAAGGTCAATTCTCTTATGATTTGGACTTATATGTGTTCGACATAAAAATTTCTTGTTCAATTCAGGATTTAGTTCGTGGTCCTCCAATTCTACCAAGTTTGATCCCGATAGAGTTATACATCTTTAGAACAAACATGATGAACGGAATAAGGGAACTCATTGGTGCTCCGCTTTCTCCACCAAATTTAGCCCCTAAGGTTGGAGACATGATTGTTCAGTTTGTGGAAAACACAGCCGCAGACACAGGTCCTCTTGTGGAAAATTTAAGCGATGAACCACATGTCGAAGATGCAATGAAAAGTGGGTCCAATATCATGGATACCAATAAGTCACTCACGATGAAGGAGGAAATTGTTGTTTATCCGGTAGGTATTTCTGATGATGCTTTTGTCATTGTGACTTATCCTGTTCCTACACACGATGCTGATGAGGGTGCACACCACCGAGACCACATTGTCCAGGCAAAAATTTCAAGTGATGATGCCATTTATTATGAAAGCACATAAAAATATGGGATGTCACAAAGTGAAGTTGTTGTCCTTTATAACTTTGAGGATGTTGCACGTGATTGCATAATATTCCCACTCTTAGTTGGCCAGAACTGTTTTACTTGACATTGGGAATGTTTTAGGCGTGACTCGTTCTTTTGCTGCTCCAAGGATCAAGGTGTTTGACCCCGGAGGATGGACGATGAACGGTGTAATTTTTTCCCGTTCTTTATTTGATTTCCAACTTGAGGACAAGTTGGTTTTCGAGGCGGGAAGAGTGATACGGGTTTATATTTAGTTATTTACCATTATTATTATATTACTATTATTATTATTAAAGGTAGTTTATTATTTATGGTTAGATAATTATATTATTATTATTAGAAAGTATAATTATATTAGATTATTAGTATTATGGTTTATTTAGTTACCTTGTATGGTTAGGATTCTCAAGATCTACCATCTATATATGTAGCCATTACTCATAAAATTATTATTCAATCAATAAGAAATCATTTTCCCTAAACCCTGGTCTCTTCCTCTTCCCCATCGTTCTTCTATCCCGACGAACAAATGTCGTGCGATTTTCACTTCGCTTTCTTTTCCCTAATTCCATAACTCGAGGGTGCTAATCCTTCCTTATCCCGATACGATACCGTATCACATACATGAACAGAGATCTTGTTTGAAAAATCTTACGGAGCTTAACACCCAAATGGCGTTCAAGAGCCGATGCCATATATGAGTCAATTGATAAAACCAACCTCGCCATCGATGGTCTTAGAGGTAATCTTAAAACTTATGAATCCACTATTCTTAAACTCTCTTTTGAAATTGAGAAGAGTCCCGATCTTGCTCTAAAGCCTCTTCCTCAAAAAGGGTCAAGGTAAGTGATTCAGACAATGATGACGATGCTCTTTCTCTTGACTTGTTTGAAAAGTTCCATGAGCTTATAAAGAAGGAACTTAAGTCTCGAGAAAAGAAGAAGGATGAAACAACCCCTACTTGTCATGGTTGTGGAAAGCATGGCTACATAAATCCATATTGCCCAAAGCGCAAGGAAAAGAAAAAGAAGGAACGAACATATTTGGCATAGGACTCAAAATGCTCCGACAACGAAACCGCCGCTCTATGATTCATGGCTGATGAAGAACACGAGATAAGTACTTCTAACGATTCCTTCTCTTTTGAAGAATTACAAGAAGTCTTTAAAGAATTATTTGGTGAGGTTAAGAGGACTTCAAAAATCGCCAAAGAGGCTAAGGATAAAATTCACTCTTTGGAAGAGGAAAATATTTTTTTAGAAAACGACAATCATGACCTTAAAAATAAAATTAAGGCGATGAGTGAATCTTCCTCTTCTATTGACTAAAGTATTACTTTCTCCTTTTCTGAATCTTTAAAATTAGAGAATGTAGAACTTAGGAGCACCATAGAAAAACTTAGCACAGAAGAGTCTAAGAAAGGTATTAAAAAGGTTCAGAAAAATAGACCACCTAGAAAAAATAATTATCCTAGGAAAAATAAAATTATTTTAGGAAGAATAAAAATAATAAGAATAATGATAGAAAACCTATAAACAAGTTTAGGAATTTTAATAGTTCTAGGAATAATTATGTTAGATCACCTAGAAATTATTTGGTTCAACCTGGGTACATGCACAACCCCGAATGTGACTTGCCACTATTGCAATCGAGTAGGACACATAGCTCCGTTTGTTTGGCTAAACATAGGGGCTTTTCTTATACTTATGATTATGATTATTATTTGCCTAACTCCCAAGGACCTAGAAGTGTTTGGATAACTAAAAATTACTTTTAGATGCTTATGTAGATGTGTTTAAAGATTACATTTTTGTACTGGATGCTCCAAACACAAAACCTAATGAATTGCATCAAGAGAAATTCGGGGGAAGTATTTTTGCTATAAATAAAAATGGTATCAGTTTCAGGGACAATCAACCAACCCAAGTAGAGTTAATCTAGGACATCTCAAAATCCTTAGTTCCTGCACATGAAGTCATTAAAAGACTCATTCATGCTTATAGGACTCTTTGCTTTAATACGCTGCTATTAATAAAGTATCATCCAACTAATATTTCCAAACAACGAGACATCTTCATTGAACGGGATTTCTTGTGGCAGAGTTTGGATAGAAGAATGCATCACTTGTTTAAGCAATATGATGATGAACAGTGCTTTACAGCACTACTATACACCAAACAACTAAGAACTTCAATAATTAAGACCTATTCGTTTGTCAAAAACTAATACCAACTGGAGTTACACAAATTCAACTAAAAATTAAAAACACTTAGTGATGACAACACATTAAACTAACAAAAATCTTAATTTTCAAAAAACTACTCTGGGATATTCTTGATTTTCTGTTAAGAATTCTCAAATCTCATATCATTCGAAATTTCCTCCATCAGTACTTAAAATTCGTGGTAATGTACTCCAAGGGTACATTCCGTACATTTCACCGTTAGGATTGAAATTTTCGTTAGTTTGATCAATCAAACAGTAAAACAATTACTCCGGGGTACCTCATATTTTCTATAAGGAACTCGCATGTGCCATATTATTAAATTTTACTTTAAACAATCATTATTTTATTATATTTTAATAAAATATTTCAATTTTTATGATAAATAATTATTATTTTAGTTGTTATAAAAACATTACCGTATTTATATTTTCATCAAAACAACAATTTAGAAATACGAAAATTATTTTATTACTTTAAAAATATTATTTAAACTTTACTTTTTAAAAAAATTAATGTGTTTTTAATGATTTAATATAAATCATTTTGTTCAAAAAAATGTGTTACCCTGATAGTAGTGTAACTATAATGAGCTTTTGTAACAACTACGATAGACTAGATACTGATCCTTTAAGTTAGAAAGCAAATGATTGTTTCAAGTATGACAATATTTTTGAGAGGAAGGGGCATTTGTTATTCCCTCATCTTAGATAAAAAGGTTTTGGTCTTTGTGATCATACACAACAATAGAATATATAGAAAATTTTTTCTTATAATTATTTTATCAAAGTATTTTTCTGTGGGTGAAGTGTTTGAAGAAATTACCCAAAATAAGAAGTATAAATACTCCCTTTGTCCAACAATGATCTTCCCGCGTTACGATGTTTGATCGAA